ACAAAAGGGAACCCTGTGAGAGTGTCTGTCTCTCTCCTTTCTGCCTTTTTTTTTTTTCCGTTTTTTTTTCTTCCAAGGTCAGAAAAGGCTTGAATGATCTGACGATGGGCTAACGTCCAAAAAATGGGGGACGGAAAGAAAAGAAAGAGTAAAAAAGAGACTGGGTTAAAAGACTTTTTCTATGCTTTTAAAAATCCCATAGAGGAGAAATAAATGGCAAGTCCACAGTTGACTAGACATGTATAGTGCAGGATTTGCTTGTAATGGCAGCTTGAGCTTATTGACAGTCCCAGCCAAAACATGTCAAAGGTTAAGAGATCTTGCCAATTGCAAGTGGGAAGCCAAAAGTGCCTTTTTCATGAGCTCAATGGGACCATCAGTTGATACTTGCTCAGCAGAACGAGGCGAAGGAGTGACCTTCAGCTTCAAGTGCGACTCGGTGACAAAGAGTTAATTTGTCCGCATTGTTTCCTTCTGTTCCTTCTAGCTGTGATATTGTTCAAAACGTTTGAATCATTTCATGAATAAAAATTACAAACTTTTTAAAAAAATTATTGCGTGAATGATTTAAATAGACCACATGTTATAAAACAGGATTTATTTAAGGCAGGATTAATGAAACGCTGCATTTAAAAATGTTGCATACAGTCAGAAACAGGTCTCATCTAAATTTAAACCACAATGCTGACTATCCACATTTAATGCTTTACATGGTTTCAGAATTTCCCCACTGCCATTTAAATCCGATTATGAAAAGGCTAAATGTTGTAACAGCTTCAGTGGGAAATGCGTACCGCCCTGTAAAACTATATCGACATTACAAGTCCCTTTCTGTGCGCGTTACAGCCCTCCAGTAAAGTGACCTTTTGGATTTCAACAGTTAGAAAAACCCTCTAATAGCTTGAAATACCTCACTCTGATTTCTCAGGCTTGGAACACAATGGAGTGACTTTTCAAAGGGGGAGACTGCGAGTTATATGGATCTAACTGGTCTTTATAGATGTGTGGTCAAGCGTCCAGAGCCCAAGCGATTCCTCGAGACAATGTGAAATCCCCGTTTTCGTGTCCTCAGATCTTTTGTGTCTGCTTGGCTGCTACAAGAGCAGGTATGAATGAAATGTAATTTATGAAAGCAGGAGTGGGAAAGGAATCATATTTAAGGTGCTGTCGACAAGCGCTTCACAAAATAGGAATTGAAAATCTTCCCAAAAAAAGTTAATTTAAAAATAAAGTGTATCAATCTTTTAAAACCACATTTGAGTTCACGTGTTTCTTTTTAAGTCCAGGCTTTTAACCTGAAACATTAAAACAAAAAGCAAATGTGACACTTCGCACCACAGATCATTCCAACGTCTCAGATGTGACAAACATGCCTCCATCACACCTACCGCGCCTGGAACTCGAACCAGCAAATAATGGCAATTACTGCTGGCACCACTTTCAGGCACCAGCGGTTTTCATTGGCCTGGACTAATCCCCCATAAACCCTTGCAGCGCCCCAATCACCAGCCGAGCCTGGGCTAATTGCTTATGAGTCCCTTGCACGCTCCAGGTGCCACCATAGCACACCCGGTGTTTGTAAACACAGCTCGTAAAAGAGGAGGCTGCCATCAAAGTGTTAATGTTTCCTCGGAGGATCAGAGGCGAACGCAGGAATGATGGGGGCGCAGCTGGGCCGATACCTGGACAGACTCGGCCCAGGCATTCCCCCTCCTTCCCCGCAGCTGTGCGCGAGCCGAGAGAGGGCTTCATTTACACGTTCCTGTCAGAGAAGAAAGACACTCAACAGGAGTTTGTGTTTGTTTACCTTACCCGTCTTTTCTTCTTTCCTCCTTTTGACTCTTTGTACTTCTTTGTGTCGCATGCCTAAAGTAGATGACCTCACTGGGTAAGCACGACTGCTGATGTTCGGGGCTGGAGAAAAACAGTTTGAGACAGTTGTGCGTTTAAAGTGATGGGAGCAGCAGATGTGTGGGTTTTCGTAAGCTCTGGAGCGCTTCTCTTTGGAACCACCAACAGCAGTCCGACGGTATTAGCAACCATCCTGTGAAGAAGAGCATTTAGTAGCATCATGTATGAGATTATGGATTGTCTTGTTGCAGATGAAAGGTTCACATTTTTCTTGAATACACAAATTCTGGCCAATAAGCAGACAGTATTGCAGCTCTGTTCATACGACTACAGGTCTGTGTCTACAGTCGCTTTTCCCTTTATATTGAACACAGAAAACCCCGCGGGGATAAAGCAGCTGGTTCCAGATTACTGCTGTACCGCCGTGTTAATGTGATTTTTCCTGCGGTGAGCCGAGCACGGTGTGTGAACATATCACAGGACTTCTGGAGAAATTAGGACTTCCTACAGTGACTGGTCTCCGTCGATGAAAAGCTTGTAGTATAAAAAGTTCTGGCAGCAACTACTTCAATTACAGCTCTTTTAATGATCAATTGCAAAGGTGTGAATGATGGAGAATCACCTGGAATAGTTTCTCCTCATACCAAAATTTTATTTTATGCCCCACTTGTTTTCCTGGCACATGTGCAGTCAGCATGGTAAAAAAATGTAGGTTATATGTGGACGCTGGACTTGGAAACATGAATTAGCCTTAATGCTCTTGTGCAGATAAAAAGATCCTTTCTTAAAGACCAATAAAAAACAAGTTGACGTTCTCAAAAACACAGATTTAGACTTCTGCCATTCCTGTGGACCAAACCTAAGAAACCAATCCTGTCAACTTGCCAGCATTATTTTTCTTCAAAAATGGGTCGAATATGTATGGCTGAACATTCCAGTATTACAACGTGGAAGCCAGTGTGCTCGAGCTGCAGCCATTAGAGAGGGATGTGTGAAAAGAGACAGTGTAGAGGTTTTTTAAAGTAGAAAGGGGTTATTTGCATTAAAAAACTTGACGCACAGAGATAAGTTTTTAAGCATTGAACCAACAACTTTAAGGTGGATTACAATGGGAAGGACGCGGGACTAACGTTAAGGCCTTGTTCAGTTCTAAAGTTCTGCCGAAACCAATAAGAGGCAATCATCTGACAAATTTATTCAATTTCGTCTTCTTTGTTCAAAATTCCATTTTTTTCCTACAGTACCTTCACTACAGGTCAAAAAGCAAACACTGTCCCTTGTCTGAGAATGACATCAGAAAAGGATCTCCTATTGGTCAGTGTGGACTCGAAAAATTACAGCAAACTGAAAAGTCCTTGTGAATATATGGACATCTGAGTGTTGTATAAGAGCCGGTAATCCAGAGTGGTTTCAGCATGCGCCACAAAACAGCAGAAAGAAGTAAGCTGACAGTATTACAGAGCTACAAAGTAAAGATAGGGAGGAGGTCTGGGTGGATGGATGGGTCAACAAACTATCCCTGTTGTTAAAGCGACAGTCAGTGTTGCGACCACTATTGCTTTTCAAACAAGTGTTTATTATTGTAGCTGTGATGACTTTCGCTTAACCATTTTACCCACATTAAGATGATTTTTATGTCTAAACTTTAACCACAGAGTTTGTAATAGATTTGAAAGGCATCCTGCCAAAAGGGGCTTCAAAACAGCAGATGCCTTTATGTGTTTTTCTACATACATAGAAAAAACATATTATGCTCATTAATTTAGATTAGTTCTTGTATATTGAGACATAAAACCTATCTTTTAAGTCATGTTCTTAAACAATAATATGACTATTTATTTAATTAAAAAAACATTTTAAAAAAGCACGGCATTTGCCCCAAGTTCCGCCTTACTGGTCTCTCCAAACAAAATTCGAACTTGAACAAATAAACAGCCATTAAAAACATACTACAGTGCAAGGGGGGTAGCACCTGCAAAACCCCTGGTGTGAGCATTTATTTTTCATTGCTGGATGGATTTAACCAGTGAGACTGTTCAGGAATTCAGTTCAGTCGCTGCCCTGTACAAGCCTTGTGGTTGTACCAAAGCAGCTGGGGGTTGGTCAGTCAGGTGGCCAGTGGCCCACTGCTGCTTTTATGACTCATCGTCATCACTCATTTCCTACCAGCTTTGGGTCACCCTGTCCTTCACCACCTTGATCTGGTGGTGTGTTTACAGCATCCGTCCAAAGCCAACAATCCTTTTTTCACAAATATCCAGCAGTGCTTTGGCCTTCGAGCAACAAGACGGCATGTTTTCTCTGAATAGGTCTGGTTTTCAGGGTGTAGAAAAAGGTTTCGTACTCTGATCAGATAGACGGCCACATCAAGGTGCTTTTGAAGGTGTAAGTGGGCAAACGAAGCCAGAAAAATGCTATCCAAAAGAAAAGTTAATGTGCAGCAATTAGCTCCTATTCAGAACTCTGCGGTAAGCCATCAGGTCATCTCCAAAACATCTCTGTCATAGCCATGACAATGGGCGTGTGCCTTTATTTTTGTATGCAGACAAAAAAACAGATCAAGAGAGGGCCACATGGGACTTGTTTGCAATCAGTGCCCAGAGCAAACAATTATCCGACAGGCTTGCCAGCTTTTTCATGGGGTGAAGTGGGTTGGAGAGGCTGCTTAAGTGGCCCGCAGACACGAGTTTTGTGTCCTTTAGTAAACAACACTGGGTATCATCAGGATGGAGTGTCACATCTGGAGTCGGGAGGCTTTTATGGATGCATGTGGCCTGGCAGACTGACACTGTGCAGACATGATGTATGTCTGCTACATGAGTGTCTGTTTCAGGATTTATAGAGTTGAAGACACTAGGGTGCGTTTGTAAAGTTGTTCTGTTTAAGCTTCTATGACAAAATAATTTGTTTTGACATGATCACACTTTTACCTGTTGTTTGAAATGCTCTCCTCACAACAGAGGCTCACTTCGGCTTTTGCACATGTCTACTGTGTATGTGATGTTTTTTCTCTTGTCCTGACTCTCTCTCCTCAGAGCACAGGCCTGTCTGGTACTCTAATCGCTAATGATAGAGTGGCTTTTGATGGGGGAAACTCCCAAAGCTTGATGTTTCTAACCCAGACTCTTGTTCCCTCTTTTATTTTCCAGGCCTGATGGAAATCCGATCTGTCAGTGTGGGAGTTGTTGCCATCAAATCTGTCAGCACCGGGCTGTACTTAGCCATGTCCAAGAAAGGCACGCTCTTTGGATCGGTGCGTATACAACCTGGCAACATTGTTTCTGGAGGTCAAGACTCCTGGAGCTTGGATAGGGGAAGGGGAGCCGGTGAGGGGTAGAGGGGGAGGGATATATATGTATAAGAGTTCCAAATGAATGCCTACCTAAACATGTTTGATTCTGCTGAAGTGAAGGGAAATCTCAGGAATCTTTTTGCTGGAAAAGTCCAGAGAGAGGTCAGAGAGCCACTATCAATCACTGCTGTACACCTGGGCCACGATACCTGCAGCTTGAGCCGGCTTGTTACACTGTCAAAATAGATAGCAGGCAAAAAGAAACCCAACCAGCAATGACAAAAGAGCCAGCTGGGCTCATTTAAGTCTTTGCGTGCCATCTGCCAATTGTTGTTTCGCACAGCAAGCTTTCAAAAGTAATCACCTCTCTTTGTTAAGATCAGACACACATCAGACCTGAGGTGTGTGGTGTCTAGCTCGTGCGCTCACGTCGCGGACAAAGAGAAATCAGGGACGAGCAATCAGTCAGCAAGAGGCGATAAGACAAGTGCCTCCGACAAGCTAACGCAGAAAAAAAAAAAGGACATAAATAGAAGAAGATCCAGGATTTTTACGAAACCCTGAAAGCTTCCACGATAACAAAAACAGGCAGGTGAATCACGGCAGGCTCATAGTATCCTGATGGTATCACAGAGGGGGGCCTCGTTATGGCAGCATGATAACGATCTGGGAAAGGGAATGCAGCAGAACCTCTTGTCACTACAATATCTTTCAAGACTCTGAGTAACTGATAAGAAGTGGTAACCACCCATGGAAAAGTGGCTTTGCTGACTGCTGAATGTCGCATTTAAAAAAAAAACAACAACAAAAAAAAAACATGTGTTATACACTCTAAAATGTGATTTAAGGAATGACAACTTTGAATGAAATTATGTTACGTACTTCACATAAGTAGCATTAAGTTCCGAAGTTGATTGCTCGTAAACGTGAAGTTGTTCTGTTATTTACCAGGATGCTTTAAGTCTTATTTACTTAAATACAACTATCATGATGTTTTCAGTTAAAAAGTTAAAAAATTTAGTTGCTCCAGTTTTTAGAGGGGCATTGAAATTCTGACCTTAAGGTAAAAAAATATAAAAAATGAAGTTACAAAGCCAGGCTCATTAAATTACCTCAACTCATATTTTGTGTTGAATCGACGAATGCAGAAATTTGAGTAGATTTTATCATTGTTATGTCAACACACCTCATCAAAAATATTTTTTCAACTCAAAAGCTTTACCTAAATCAGTATTTCTTTTTAATATTTAAGTGGTAGGAATAAGTTCCTTTAAAAACGTCCAAGAGTGGATTTTTGGTTCATTTTAAAACGTTATAGGATCCATTTACCCAAATCACAGACACTATTTCACTTGTCAAGGTTTTAGTAAATCAGCTCTAACATTTCTGCTGCCAACCCAAAACGATGTAGGTAAACAGAACTAAAATGTCCTTCCAACACCAACATCTCAGGTACTCGGGATATTTCACAGACCTCATTGTCATCTGTTTCGGCTCGACATCAGTTTTCAAAGATCGGTCCCAACGAAAACTTAACTGTCAGGTCGATCTCAATAACCAGAACATTGTTTCTGGAAAGGAAAAGCTGGTGCTGTCCACTGGCATAAACTGTACTGGGTTGATGGAAAATAAGTTTCAGAAGTGAATATCTCCACATAGCTTTTTGCTTGGCTAGACACCACCAGTGGTGAGGGGATACGTGTTTTTTCTTTTGTAGTTCTGGGTTAGTAAACCCTTTAATTCTCACTTGCATGACTTTACAAAGACAAACCAGCTAAATTCTGTGTAATGGAAAATCTCTATCATGTGCAAACACTTGGGGAATCTTTAACTGCAACAACACACATTAACCTTTGTGCACTTCTTGGAAACTAGCCTAGCACAGCACAGCGGGAATAACAGTCAGCTCTTAACTGCAGACTCATCTGTTATAACCTCCTCAACATCCCTCGTCTTTCTCCCTGCCGTCTCAGGTGAAGTACAACCCGAGCTGCAAGTTTAAAGAGCGCATCGAGGAAAACGGCTACAACACGTACGCGTCTCTCCGCTGGAAGCACGGCGGCAGGCAGATGTTTGTCTCGCTGAACGGGCGGGGGAAACCGCGGCGAGGCCACAAGGCTCGACGAAGACACCCGTCTACTCACTTCCTGCCCATGCTCCCCTCCTAGCTGCCCCGAGTCTGAACTCTGACCGGCGACCGGATGGCTCATCTGCCTCCTCACACTAGTGTCGATCTAGCTGTGATCATTATTTTTATTATTCCATCCTCCTGTCACATAAAATGTACATTTGCTGAGGTCTGTAACATTTGTAGAGTTAGTGTAATATCTACTTTTAAGTTATTTTCTGCATTTTTCTAATGATGTTCAGTAATACAGTCCAATACAGTAGAACTATGCTATCCTCTGGCATCTGTCTGGTTACAGTATCCACCAATGTGTGTGTGTGTGAACTCCATTTGAGTGACGTTAAGTGATTGAAAGAGGACAGAAAAAGGGAAAGAGAGGCTTGGAATTGATTACCTGTAGCTCATGGATTTGTGCTGGAATGATAAGTATCATGATTACAAAAAAAGAAACCACAAAAGTAGCCACAAATCTGAGGTAAAACAAACATTGTGAGGACTGAAATCATGTACTCAGTATTTTAGGGGAGAATGTGGGGACAGGTTTACACTCTACAGTTAAAAATCTATGAATATTTGGCTTTTCATGGCCCAATTTCAGTATTTCTAGACCTAATATTGTATATTTAGCCTTACAAAAAAAGCACGTGAATTTATGTTATTAACACCTTAGACACATTTCACATTTTCATCATGGCGCACCATTTAATTGATTTTTAGGTATCTAATTAAGAAATAGGGCTGCAAGGTGGAGCAGCGGTTAACATCGCTGCCTCGCAACAAGAAGGTCACTGGTTCGTGTCCTGGTGAGGACACCCGTGATCTTTCTGCGTGGAGTTTGCATGTTCTCCCCGTGCAGCGTGGGTTCTCTCCGGGTTCTCCGGCTTCCTCCCACACAGTCCAAAAACATGTAGGTTAATTGGTGATTCTAAATTGTCCGTAGGTGTGAATGTGAGTGTGCTTGGTTGTCTGTCTCTAAGTGTAGCCCTGTGATAGACTGGCGACCTGTCCAGGGTGTCCCCTGCCTTCGCTCTGAGTCAGAGGATTAAGCAGTGTATAGATGATGGATGGATGGATGGATGGATGGATGGATGGATAATTAAGAAATATTACATGTAGGAAAACAGTGTTTGATATGTACTAAATTAACATAACAGCATATCATTTGTCATGCCACGACAGCATTTCATTGTGTTCATACACAGGCCTAGAGTAGTTTTGGGACATTTTACATACAAAAAATAATGTTAGATGTAAATTTCACATTTTCTTCTTTTGTAAGGCTAAACTGTACAACTTAAGGTCAACAAAAATATTAGTTTCTCAACCAGATTTTCTTTCTATGGACTAAAGAAGACTTAACATAATTAAGCGGTTAACAGAATAAATACAACATAGGGATTTCATATGATTAATGGTCATTAAGGGGACCTGAACTCATGACCTCAGATGCGAGCTAAGGCCTTTTTACACATTTAAACTCCTCACCATCACTTGGGATAAACTGACATCACTGGATAAGAGATACTGAACTGCACCTGAACTGTACAAATGAGATGAAAGGGAAGAAGAAAAAAAAAAAAAAGCTCTACTGACTTAAACACGGTGATAAATGTACTGTTCTGTCTGTATATGTCTACGTATGACAAGAATGCAACAGAAACTAAGCTAACTACTGGGATAACATGCTGAATTTCCTGCGAGGACCTTTTGTAAGTTTGTGCATGCTTCTGTCAGTCTGCTTCTCCCATCCAACAACCCACCGCTAAGTAGAATAGAAATCAGTACCGGGAAACACGCGATGTGTCTCATGTAGCCTCGGATTCTTGGGCTTTTAGTTCAGTCGTGAAATAACTGACATCCATTATGAGTCATTTAACGCGTTGTCGCAGCCGTAGGCACCGCCAGATGTCACGTAGCAGCAGCTTCATTAATTTTGTACACAGTAGTGAATGGTATACTGCCTCTCTGTCAAGACTTGCTAACATTTTCTCGCCAACAAGGCTGTTGCTAATAGAACATTTAATATATTTAAAACATTTTGTACTCTTTAACTGTTTGGAGTTGATGTTTATTGTTATTGTTGACTTTTTTTTTCTGTTGGATTGTAGTCCTACTGTTAAAAAAAAAAAAAAAAGAAGGGAAAAAAAAAAAGAATCGTATTCAAGTCCATATTCAGCTCAATTTGTATGGTATTACTACTGGATATTGGTACATCGGTGATCCACGTATCAGAAACAGTCTTCAGCTATAGGCCAGAACTAGCAGGTTGTATATAAAGTCTCAGAACAAACAGTCTTTAGATCCATTGCAGCAAAGTAAAGTCATTTGAGTGCCTTGGCCCATGCTGAGTTTGGTAAACTTCAATAAAAAATGTGGATAAATCATGAGTCATGGCTCGCTTGCTTACAAGCCCTGATTACATTTTTTTTCTGTTAAGTGCAACAATGGCATTTTAATCTGATCTTGTGCGTGGCATTGATTGTTAAGTGTTGGTAACATCTCCATCAGAGCTCGTCGACATAATCTCCCCTCCTCCTCCTCCTCCTCGTCCTCATCATAATCATGACAAAACTCACAGCTGGAGAGGCGTTGATGTGGAGGACCTCCCCGTGCCCGATGAAAGGTCCGCGGTTATGAACTATGCGACCGAGCATCAAGATCATTTACACACAGACGAGCCCTCCAGTGGCACAGGAGGCCACTCGGTCTTTTCAGCGAACAGAAAGGAGAGTCGGGGATGAATAGTGGCTGTTCGGGGTGAATAAAAGCCAACCTTTCAGCCTGTCATAATGTGAGATTACTGTGACGGGGTACATGTCTGGTCAGAGTGGCGTGAAGTCACACTGTAGTTCAGCTCCAAAGGTCTGGGTGCACCAGACAAATATCAGTATGGGGGGTCTGGCTGGACTGTTGCCATGCAAATGTCTTTGTCCTCAGCTGTGCACCCTTGTGATGGTGGTAGAATTTTGAAAAAAAAAAAAGAATTTACTTGTATTTGTTTTCCTGTTACTGGTAGTCATCAATTAACCCCGTAAACTCCAAGCAGTGTCTGGGCGTTTTGGGTCCTGTCATACTTTAACACACAGTGGGCTCCTTCTTTAATGCAATAAAGATTCTGCAAAACGTTTTTCTGTGCAGTATAACAAAGTTAGAATGCCATGAATCCTAAAAAAAATAGAAATAAACAAAAGCAGAATGTCTTGAAATGTTTACTTTCCAAAAAAAAAAAAGGCTCACGCTGAAAAACAGGGACTCCACATGCTGACGATATTTTACACTTCGATTTTTGCACCTTCTGTACGCCAACTCCCAAAAGTTGTTTCATCAAGCTTAATGCATCTTCTAACAACTTTCTGATAACTTGCTCCTCTGTCTATGCTGCATTTATTTTATTGATTAAGTATGTTTTCTTTTCCTCTCAGTCTCTCTTGACGTCTTTGCTCTGTGCAAACACTGCCTGCAGGTCACCTGAAAACTGAAATCAGTTCACCTGAAAGAATATTTGCCACATGAGTGTTGGTCAGACCTGAGTCAGTCCTGATTTATTTTGGGTGAATTTTTTTGCGAGACATGCAAAATAAGGTGAATTTAATTTTAAAAATTAACACAATTTGAAGCTTAGATTTGGTTCATTTACTTGATAGAACTGTACGTCACATATGATTAGTTTAAGGATGGTCTAAAAGTTGAAGATCCAACAATACGCTTCGATTTTAGTCTAATAAACGGCATCATTTTGGTGATATTTCAATCCCATTTGTAGGCTTTGGGTTCAGAAAGTTAGTAGAATTTTTTTTTTTTTGGAGATACAGTTTCTTGCCGACTGATAGTTGAGAAGATCAACACCACTTTTATGTCTGTATACTCACGATGAGGCCACTGCTAATGTAGTTTAGCACAGTGACTGGAAACAGGGGAAACTGCTCCCGACATAGGTGACAAAATCCTACAACAAGCATCTCAAACACTCAGTAACACATACCATGTTGGTCTGACACATGCAGTCGCGAAAACATGTCGCAAACAAGCATGAAGGTAACCAAATGAAATCATGACATAAAGCAAATGAAATATGTAGAGAAACTTTAGAGATGCTGGTGAGGCAGATTTTTTTTTACCTTCTGACAGGGCCACACTAGCTTTTTTTTCAACCTTTATGCTAAGCTAAGTGACTACTTCCTTTATCTTTAAACTTACTGTTCAAACAGGAGATTGAGAAAAAGCAAATAATGAGTGAGTTAGAAAGCGCATTTCCCAAAACGTCCAATTTTTCTTTTTAGTTTTCAAACAAGAAGCAGCCTGTATTTTGTAGGTGATGTGTTTTTTGCATGTTTTTTTTGCTTTCTTGTCACAGCGCATTTCAGCTTTACAGGCGTTTCTGAACATATGATGTTCGTCTGACTCTCCAGCTGGTACAGACACACTAAAACATGCACGCCACAAAGTAATCCCATTTTCTGCCTGTTCTCTCGATTGACTCGCCTCTTTGTCAGTGTCCTCCATCTCCCGTCCTCCACCTCTCTCCTCTCTCTCTCTCTCTCTCCTCTTTTAACCGTCCAAGAATCTCCCCTTTCTCCTTGGCCTGAGGGTGCGACTGGCTGTTGGTGCCAGTTCCACGGACAGCAAATGGGAGCTGTAATTATCATTGCTCCACCACTGTCCTGTCAGTGCGCTCGCCAGCAAAACAAGAGGGATCCTTTGGAAGTCCTGATCAAAAGCTCTGGCCTTTGATCATGAGGCAAAAAGGGAAAACCTAAACACTGTGCAAAATCAACGAGGAATGTCCCGAAGAGAGAAAGAGCTCAGGAGAATGCAAATGACAGCCGTCCAGAAGACATCCTCCTCGGGCCGCGACGCGTTGATGTCACCAGCGCAGGTGTTTTTGGGCCGCGTTTGATGTGATCGGTGTAAGCAGAGGACTGAAGGAGTGAGTCATGTTGTTGCTAAAAGTGTCTGTAAGATAGCACCTGGCAAGCTGCACCGGCACCTCACGTCTTCATGTTTCTGCAAATTAGCAGATTTGCAAATCGATGGAAACGTCTTCATTCAACGTCCGTAAAAAAAAACATTACATGCATGATTTTGCACGAACCAATAAAAAAAAAAAAAAAAAAATAGTGTTTATAGAGAAGGTTACATTGAATGCTTTTGAAATTAATTTGCAGCTGAGTGACAGAAAAAAGTAATAATAGAAGCCCATTTTCAGGGCCTCAGCCAAAATCTACAGGGGCACAAGTCATGCTGCTTCAGCGACAACAAACCACAGCCTCTGGAACCTTTGAAACCCTGTGTGGTCATTTTCTCTCACAGTGACTGAAAAGAACTGTGGTGGGTGGGAAAGAAAAAAAAAAAAAAAAAGAGCCCCTCGCCACTCATAATACCAATCTTATGTATGTAGACGAAAATGGGAGGGATGGGAGGGGTTGGGGGGTGGCAGACGGACTAAGGCACAATTTTAAAGCGCTTATTGAATTGCCATTACAGCTCCTGAGACTAATTGTGGCTGTTGTGTGTCTCTCGGTGGCCTAGGGGGCTCTGGAGTGGCCCTGTATGCTCTTACTCAGTGGGGTTTTCAAACCGAGTGGCCCTGAAAGAGAACAGGACCACCGTAGATCAATGGCAAACCTTTCACTCTTTCACAGGCCCTCGCTAATCCTTCTCATTTGTCTGCCATTTGTTGAGGCACATTCACAGCTCCCTGAATTTAGGATTAGGGCTTGTTTTGTTACA